AGTTGGATGAATTGCCCATGGCATGATTGCCTGCCGTCGTGTAAGTGGTAGATGACGGCCCATTGCTGTCGGGTCGTCTTCGTTTTGGATATGGCTCTTGTATTGGGTCACTGGGGCCTTGCTTGCCGTTCCATTCACCATTGTCGTCCCGCACTTCTTCACCCTCGCTAGTCCACTTGGAATCTAATAAAGAAGGTAGTGATGCAAGATCCTTACATATGTCCTCAGGCGACGGTCGTGGCCGGTGCAGAATGTCAGATATTCCATATACGACTTGCTCATGGAATTGAGGACCTTTCAATCGAAAGCGTGTCTTGACCAGCTTTGGCGGTAGGAATGGCGTTAAAGTCGTAGATCCATCTTCCCCCTCGCCCATTCGAGGCTGTTTCAACGGGAGACTCAAATATAGAAGCGCTTGCGCTCGAGTCATCGCAACGTATAACAAACGTCTTTCTTCATCAACTACTTCGGCGCGCGAATGTGGAATACTGCCGTTATAAACGGCAGGAATGAAAACAACTGGCCATTCTAAGCCCTTGGCGGCGTGAATCGTCGATATCGTGACACTACCCGAGCCTTCATCGCCCTCATCTTGTGTTTGCGCCTCCGTGGCCAAGGCAACATTAGCCAGGAACCGTGACAGAGCATCTTCCCCCGGATTGGATTGCTGCTGCTCAACACCTTCGATTTCGGGTAGGTCTTCCTCGAGATTTGCCTCATTTTCGGAGGCTGCAGCCTCGTTAGCTTGGGCCATCAGCTCTTTGACATTCGCCCAGCGGCCGTCTTCGTCCAGCGGGTAGGTCTTAAGCAGATACTCTTGAAATGAGAGGTTGTCGGTGATATACTCCAGAAGTACACAAGGGGCCGTTGCATCTTGACAATCCTGCAATTTTTGTTTGGATGCCTCGATCAATCTGATGAAAGAGCAAAGCCCTAGCTCTGCGGCTTTCTGCAGCTTTTTCTCAGTTGATCGACGGCCTTGGATCACGTCTTTGATAAAGGTCCATAGAGTAACCTGAGCCTTCTCTGCACCACTGGTCAACTGCTTGATAGTCTCGTCGCCGATCCGCCGCGGGGGAACATTGATGATACCAAGCAGAGCGTCCGAATGGTCCGTATGGCTCACAACTCGAAGATAATTGAGCAGAGTCTTTACCTCGGTCCGATCGAAGAACTTACGTCCTCCTACCATCTTATAGGGAATTCCTGCTCGACCGAACGCTGTCTCGATCCGGGTTGATAGCGAAGCAGACCGAAGGAGAACTGCAAAGTCAGACATGCGCAACAGACCACCCGTCATCGCCACGCTTCTTTTGATCTCAAGCACCATCCAAAGAGCCTCTGCATTTGGATTGGGAAGTTTTCTCAGCACAGGAAGGGTTCCAAAGGTATGGGTGGCCTCGAGTTTTTTCGCCGGTCGCGTGATGTCTTGTTCGATCACATCTTGCGCAGAATTCAAGATTGATCCCGAAGAACGATAGTTTGATTCCAACAAAACGACCGACGTGTTTGAATACCGCTTTTGCATCCGCCTCAAGTTCTGGATTTCTGCAGACCGGAACCCATAGATACTCTGATCGGGATCACCGACAATGGTGATGCGCCGATTCTTAGAGGCAAATAGGTTCATCAGGTCGTATTGGATGATGTTGGTGTCTTGAAACTCGTCCACCAGAACTGTTTGCACATTTGAAACACACTCTGGGTGCTCTCTGAGAAGATCGCCACAGCGTAGAAGCAGATCATCATAGTCAAGAAGATTCGCGGCTGCAAGCGCCTCATCATACGCGCGATAGATGTCCACAAGCTCCAGCTCCTCTGCTTTGACCCGCTCAGCCAAAGCGTTCGGAGAGAGGCCATGAGCCTTGTGTTTGGAAATCCGTCCTTGAGCCGCTCTGATATCCATGCTGGAATTCAGGCGCTTGATGATTCTCTACTCAAACGTTAGCGATTACCCAAGAGTCAGGGCTGACGGAACAATCTCACTCGAAGAATGGCCCTAGTATCATCGGAATCCGCAATCCCAAACCCTTTGCGCAGCCCAATCAAATATCCATACTTGACCAAATACCGTCGACAAATTGAATGGAAAGTACCCAGAATCAACCGTGACTGTAATTTCTCTCCAATAAGCTTGCTCAAACGCTCACGCATCTCCCGACTTGCTTTGATCGTAAACGTGCAGCATATGACATCTTGTGGTTGATAGCCATGGTGAGAAAGCAGGTACGCGACGCGTGCAGTGAGCGTTTTAGTTTTGCCCGAGCCTGGAGGCGCAAGGACCTGGAGGATCGGGGCAGAGGAGGTAACCGCCTCACGTTGAGCGTGATTCAGACCATCGAGGATGGGATCCATGACATGCCGTTTGTTGTGAGGGATCGAAACCTCCAAGGGGATCGATCAATCCAGACCGTGGGTTGGGTAGTTCAGAGCGGCAGGTGAGACGCGCTGCGAACGCGGTGTCATGTGACATCACCTGCGGAGGTATGCTTGGTGGGTTAATGGGATGCTATGGTGATCTGCGAGGGATGTATGGCATGAATTGATGCAATTTGAATATTGAGTTGTATAGACAATATTATTCAAGTCAGATTAATGGGTTGCCGCGAGGGACTGTGGGCTAGTCTCGTGTAGTGCGGTTGAGGCTGTAGGTTGTAGACAGTAGCCATAAACGATGTTTGAGCCAGCCAGTGTGTACAACTTGAAAAATTAGAAGCATTGCTCCAGAGAACTCACTGGAAGTGAATATACATCTAATACAATGATTATAGCTATATGTGACCGCTTTTCACATGGCAAATATAGATGCCGACTCGGAGATGGCCGAGTTGCTCTTGGGGTAGTTAGTTAACTAACTTAGTTAACTAACGTATTTCCTGGCCGATCCGGCCACCCCAAAACACCATACTAAATGCGATATGTCACAACTCAATATCCCAACACTCAAAGCTAATTACCTTCTATTCAGATATCCCAGTATTTAATATACCACATTAGGTATTCTCCTCGACACGGGAAGTATTTAAGGGTGTCATAACGTAGAGATACATATCTATATCGGTCGGTCGTGGCGTATTTTTGGTATTGTAGGTAAACAATCATATTCTGAATATTTGAGTTATGCTATACTATTTCTGATACTTAGAAAGAATCATCGACTAATAAATCAAGTTAAAATTTCTTCTTGTTGTTGAAATATTACGACCTGAGAAATCGTATTTAGTATGGTGTTTTGGGGTGGCCGGATCGGCCAGGAAATACGTTAGTTAACTAAGTTAACATGGGCCCAAATTTAGTCATCAAAGTAGGATAACTAAATTACAGCCCACTCAACACACGTTGTTTTTATTTGCGAGGAAAATTTCTTCAGGCTCTTCCTAAATATTGAAGAGGATACAAAATCGTCAAGTCCTGGTTCCCAGCCTTTACCATCCCATGGAGGAGGACACTACCACAATCCGTTAGCTCCCATCGACCAAGCGGCGAATCATAAGGAGTACAATTTCTTAGTTCAGATACCCCTCTCATGTGGCTTGTGCTGCAGGTCATGAGTCAACAGCGAGGCTCCCATTGGGGGAACCGAATATCCATGACAGATTTGGAAGAACGTCGCCTTTAACTGCTTTGTGTACAGGGAATGAAATCGGATTTTAGCTCATGCCATGGGATTATTTGCCGAATGAATGTCTAGGCTGCCAATCACGCCATCAGCTCAGCCTAAACGAGATAGCTTCCTTAGTCGCCTTTTTAAGCTACACCGGGGCGGTGTATCTGGATTAAGTCCGGAGAGCAAACGTCACCACTTTAGGCGATTGGCGGGGTGTATTCAACATCAAAAAAACTAGGGATAATCAACGCGCTAAGTGTAATTCCTCTCTCTCTCTCTCTCTCTCTCTACCAAGAAAATATGCCAGCTTCGTGGACATGAGCTAGATAAGGCACGATATGTTCGTGTGATCATGTAAAGAAAGATACGATAGTAAGATTGTTTGATCTGAAGGAATATGGGAGTTTTAGATCTATCAGGCAGAATATAATCTCCATGTCTCTCTCTGATCCTTGATATCTTTGTACCCATGCTCAGTACTCTTTTGGCATCCCCGCCATGCCCATCATACCTGGACTGTACCAAGTCACAACAACCATCAGTGACAAGGCTACGCCATTAGGCTCCGTAGGCAACATTGCCTTCAAATTACAATTCATGGCTTATCGCTTAGGAGAATTCAAGAGCCTAATTGCCGACTTCACGGGCTTGATTTGCCAGGCATGGCGGCCGATATCGGACGCCGCGAGAACACGGACCTTATAACACGATTTTGATTGTTGGAAATGAAGAAACAAATACCGAGCAGTCAGACTTTTTGCGTTTCCCTTGATTTCATATCATCGAAAAGACATGAAAATGAACTTGGTGAGGATATATATAATCAATGGATCATAGTGAAGCGCCCAAAGAGATAGGATGTTGGGAGCCCTTTTTTTTGGGAGATAACTGGAAAAATGGGTGGACGATACTTGTATCATACGTATTGAATGGGACTTGGCGCGCAGATAGCGGACATCATTGCGCCTTCTCCGCGGACGACCGCGATTGCCTGTCATTGCCAGAGAAAGTCTCCTTCACTACGTTGACTCCATAACGGATAATGTTTGCTCAATGCAGTAGATTATTTAAATGTAAGTTATACGCTGCGGCTATCGCAAAGTAGTCGCGACTCGAAACACACGCGGCATTTGAGAATGCACAAATGCGTCAACAGTAGAATGGCTCGATACGATATTCTGATATGATCGGGCTATGAGCCAGACCATGAGTATGCAGTCTAGTATGGTGTGCCCTCGGACAAACACAATCAAGAGCCCAAGAGACCAAATATGACTGGTCACCTATTCAGTCATCTCTAAGTCAGGTACTCCGTATCTAGTGAATATAGGCCATTAGAGGCCCACTAGCCTACCTTATACGGTATGGATTAAATCACGCACATGATGTTAAGAGGAGAATGTGTCACGTATTTTCATGATCATGTTTATTCGCTTAGGGTATGTCCAAGATGAAAGTGTGGCTGCCATGCAGAGTAAAAAAGGAAAATAAAAAAATCAACAAGGCTAAGTCGCATTCATGTATGTGCAATACAAAAGGAGAAGAAAAAAAAAACAGAGTACTGTCATCCAGCACCCCTGGGTATCAATCACATCACGCAAAGCACCCCGCATATTTCCGCAACTAGAAAGACTCGGAGACAAAACATCCAAGGATCGCGATCACCAAAGTATTACTCTGAGCTGAAAATGCCCAAGGGGATGTTCATGGACACCTCATAGTTAGGCACATTGACAATCTCAGTAATATGTAAGTCTCCGGCAACACTGGCCAGGATATACGCCTCGCTCTTGGAAAGGCCCTTGGTATGGATGAGCCATTGGATAAGGCTGCGGGTAGCGCTCTTCGCGGCCTCGAAAAGGTCTGGGCCGACGCCGAGTGCACCGTAGGTTCCGAGGTCTGGGAGGGGGTTGGGTATTTGAGCGCGCGGCGGGGTCTGATACTGGGGCGCGGTAATCCAAGGCTGGTTCTTGATGAGCTCGAAGCGGAGGGTCGCTTTAATGGGGGTTTCGATGGCAGTGCCGCAGACTTCGCCCTGGCCCTGGGCGGCGTGGCCGTCACCACAACTGAAGAGGGCGCCGGCAGTCTGGACGGGAAGGTAGACGGTTGAGCCAACGCTGAGCTCGCGGCAGTCCATGTTACCACCGGCGTGAGTTGGTGGCACGGTGGAAAGCTCTTCGTCCGTGGCCGGCGCGAGGCCCATGCAGCCTAGGAATGGTCGTAGGGGAATACGCATATCCTTGAACTGAGCGTATCCCTTCTCACGGTCAAGAGACCAGAGCTTCAGCTCGGGCTCAGGGAAATCCTCTGCCAGCAGACCGAAGCCGGGGATAATGGCGGACCATCCCCAGTCTGCGACTTCAAGGGCTAGGACCTCGACCTTGAGAACGTCGCCGGGCTGTGCATCTTGCACATAGATCGGGCCGAAAACGGGGTTGGCGATGCCGAGATCCAGCGTCGAGATAGCCGATGCGTCCGAAGCGGTGTTGAGCTGGCCGTTGCTGCTGTCAATGGCATCAAATGAGACCGTCTGACCGGAGGAGACGGTCAATTTGGGAGCAATCTTGCGAGACCATTTCACATGGCCGCAGTCTCGCCCGACGTGGAAGTTGTTCCAACTTCCCGACGCCATGCTGGTCGTGGTAGATTTAGTATGAGTCAGTGTAGCAGTCATCGGGAGCGGTGGCAGAAGGTTGATGACTCTCGAATGTTGAAAAGCGATATCGGACGCGAGAAGAGGAGCAAAGTGACGGAAGTGGGCGTATTTAGAGAAAATGGAACAGCAAGAGGGAAGCGGGAGCCTGCTCGAGGCAGCTCGAGACGAGACGAGATCCTCTTGGAGGTTCACCGTTAGGGAAGGTGGATAGAGTCAGATCTTCCAGGTTGAATAATGCTTGTTCTTGAAGGAATCCCCACCCGGGAGCCGATTTCGTCGCCTGCCTAAAAGGGTTTGACGGGATTCCAAGGGACTGGGCCATCAAGAGCTTTCGTTGGAGCCTCTGGGGGGTTCCTCCAGCAGAGTGGCCGCCTACAAGGAAATGCAAAGACGTTCTGCAGGCGCTAGTTGGCGGATGGAGGGGCGGTCCACTCCGACGGAACGAAGCGACCTTTCAATATTCCGTCTGCTACATTGGCTCGGATAGTCCTGAGCATCGTCATTATTGTGACCGGGGAGATAACCTTGTCGAGCGGGGTGGAAGGAGAGTTCCCGAAGAACGGATGAGGGCGGAACGTTACCTACGGAGAGTCAGGAATCTAGTACAAAGGAGCACGCAGTTACGGAAGTATTTCATATTTGAATATCTAACGTAAGACGTAGAAGGTGTTAGTCACTGAGAGGAGAGGATCAGATGGGATGGAAAAGCCGAAACCCTGGTTTTGTCGAGAACAGGGCCTGAACGAATAGAAAGGCAACTCTATAGGGTGCAGGAGAAGATCCAAGGTTAGAATACGAAACGCAACGCCACCGGAGCAGTCCTTAGAAAGGCAGGCCGTTTGGCCTTTTTTTGGGTCCGCTCTGGTGGGGTTGCACGCCGAGATTGCAAACCTTTTTTTTTTCTCTTTCGTTCTTTTGCATTATTTGCATTAGATGCATGACCTAATCATAAAACTTCTTTTTTTATACCTTAGTTACCTACATAGTTAGCCAAGCTAACTATAGACGAAGATGGAAATTTGTTGGTTCAATGAGACTCTCTATCTTTCAAAGTACCCGTGAACATGTTGACTTAGAAAAAAAAATAATTGGAAACGTGAAGACCCCGTAAATGGGCCCTCGCGACTGCACACAACCACCTTCTTGTTCGGGGCAAGCCAGACCCTTTCAGTGGGACTGGGTGGACTTGGCCCGATGATGCAAAACACAACCGCAGTAGTGGGCCGATAGCCTTTCGGAAAAGGCTGGACCTAGTGTATACTAGTAGACCAGCTGGTTCAATCCTATGTGCTTTGGTAGTGACAAGTATTGATTTGGTCTATACATCGCAATAGACTATAGGCAAGGCAGTACAATAACTAACCATGTCTAGCGTCGTGTCATCAGAAAACTGCAGCACGTCTCGAAATAAAGTTCAATCATATTGCCGTGTTTTTTTAATCCAGCTCTTTTGTCTCCATCCTTCGGTTCAGCTTTATGATCATCGCCGAGGTAGTACTCCGTACGGAGTACATACTGTAGCTTCCACCTCTTACAATTCCCAATCGCATCACGGGTCCCTTTTTCTCCCCCGGTCGATCCTAACTTTTCTTCTCTCCACTTTCGCGCCCAGCATACATCGTAACATCACGACTGCTGCCCATCCAACATCACAATAACACACGAAGCATTATCGCTCTTTGGGCGACTGGCAATGCTACTGGTCACCTCCTGTGCAATATCATCGGCTCGTATACCCCGCATCGACAGCTTCATCACGTGCTGAATCAAGGCCGGATCGTCGGTGCGGTCGCTCACCCCATCCGATACGATAACGAGCAGGTACCGATGGGTTGACTGCAGTTTACGCAGTGAGGTGTAGGGCTCGTTGGACAGGAAATCACCACGAGCCGACGCCGATGACGAAGAGGCGCGCCGTGTTCGAGGTATCGAGCTATCATCCTCTACGGTGTTCACCGGGTTCTTGTACTGCAAGTCACCCAGCGCGCGGGACATATTCAGGGACCCTGCTCCATGGAGTATTCCCTTCGTGAGTATCGTTTCTCTACCACAAGGACTTGTGTTCACTGGGGAAAGCCGCTGGCCCCCTTCCACCACGGGCTCTCGGGCCCTCCCCTTCCTTGGGCTGGCCTAGCAAGGGTTAATCTGCAACTCACCGAGCCGAGTGATTCCGTTCCGTTTTTCCACCATACCTCCAGCCTCTTTGATGCGAGCTTGCTCGCTAGGCACTTCGGGCTTATGTGCTTCTGTGAGTCGACGCTAAAGTTTGCCGATTAGCGACCGTTTCTGGTTCCTTTGGGGGGGGGGGGTGACAAGACCATACAATGTGATAGGGAAATTCCGTTTTGGGATCCCGCTCAGCCAAGATGACATGCGAGTCGCCTAGATTGGAGACTACCAGCTCCCCCGTGGTCAAGTTGATGAGGCACACCGCCACTGTTGATCCGGACACCGCGGGCTCGACGGACTCGCGCATAAAATTATCCAGCAGCAAGCGATCCTCCTCAGCCAGTGCGGCCCTCATCGCGGCAGCATAGTCGCCCCGTTGAAGTTCGGGTCGTTGGGCAAGTAGATTATGCAGGTTCTTAGAGGCATGATCTGCAACGACGCCGGAGCCACTATGTTGGAAATCGGCATGTCTCGCCTCTCGGGTTTTGTTGGAGGCTTCTACTTACTGCCCATCGTATATTGCGAAGAATGCAATATTGTCATTCGTCTTTGCGGGGAACTTCTCCGGTAGGACTATCCTGTACCGGTCCTCCTGTCTTTCCCTACTTCCTTGAGCCTGTATCTCATGGTCAGCCTGCCACTTAGCAGAGGATCACGAGGGGGGCTGCTACTTGACCTGCTCCAACGTCGAAGAGTACAAGTGCGTCCGATGTAGACATGAGTGTATTGCGGAACATCCCTGGGTCTCTCAGAGCTTTGTGTTAAGAGGACCATGTTGAAACATAAGCAGCTTTCGAATCCAGTCCCATCTATCCGGCCGTTTGCCCCAGATTCTGACGTCGCGTGCTGGTGATGGCGTACTGACATCATTCAATACGCTTCCCGTTGGGAGTTGCTTATGCTTAGTGGAAAGCGCTGGTATGAGAGTTCCCTGTGCATTCTTAATTGCTTTGTGGGAGACTGCGTAAGAAGAAATATATAACGCACTGACATAAGGTACAGCCCGGAGGCAAAGTAGTATCTAGATTGATCTAGAGAGATTAAATACAAGATCATCCGGATGTATCTCGCTACATATTGGATTCAAAGCTTTCACAGACAACAAAATACCAGGTCTCCTAGGGTAAGTCCAACTGCATGCTGGAATAGCTCAAATATAGATCCCAATCTCAAAACCCCGCACGGACCACCCGTCCGGCCTCGGGCGAATTTGTAAGTCGAGGCACGATTAACACTCTTTCGCCGCTCATTGATTCCCGCCGCTTCAACATCTCAACATTCCTACGACATGGGCTGGCCAGGTGTGGGGAGTCTCGCTGCAACTGCGGGATATTTTTTCTCCCGCAGTCAACCTAACACTGACGAGAAGACCCTGGATCCAACCTCCCCCACCCCGCCGGACTCCAGATCCGTGCCGCCTTCTGCCGCCGATAATCACACTCCGGAAAGACATGACGCAGGCGCCTCGACATGTCCGCCACTAGATGTTGAAGAGGATGGCTCTCAGAGTACACCCAAGGCATCGGCATCAAGTGCGCCGCCACCAGTCCTCACCGTCCCCACATTGAGTCTGAATGGTGACCCGAGCGACAACGACAATGCCACCGGCGTCGAGAGAGGTTCATCAGGCCAGAGGAGTGTAAACAGCTCTGGACAAAAGACACCGGAGACAAAATCCAACGATGCATCCACCAACTCAAGGATGCAACCCCCGTCTCTCGGGGCGACCTCGTCGCCACAACAACCTCCCAACGCAACCGCGACAAACATACCCTCCCTCATGCCTCCACCCCCAATCCCACGCCCCCGACAAACCCCACAACCAAACAGAGCTCCCCCAACCCTCCAACCACCTCGATCAAGTGCCAGTTCCCTCCGTACACCTCCCTCTGCCGCCGCGGGTCTTCGCGTGCCCCCCACCGCTAGCAGCGGCGGCAGCGGCCTGAGCAGCAGCACCCTCGCCCCAACCACAGTCAAGAAACAAGCATCTCGCAAAGTAGTCCTCGAACCGGGCTACTCACCACTAGACTGGGCCGCGCGCGCCGCAAACCCGAACAATCAACTCCGTGGCGCGGGTTTACCCCCGGGTCTCCTGCGGGTAACCCCGTCCCTGCTCAAGACGCAGAATGGGCGTAAGGGCCGTGATGCTTGGACGTCGTATCAGGGCAAGGTTTATAATATCTCGCCGTATGCGCCATATCATCCCGGTGGGAAGGGGGAGTTGCTGCGGGGTGCGGGGAAGGATTCGGCGCAGTTGTTTGCGGAGATCCATCCGTGGGTGAATTGGGATGGGATTCTGGGGGAGTGTTTGGTGGGGATATTGGTTTCGGAGAATGATGTTCAGGCGGAGAATGGGTTGGATGCGATGGACTAAGAGTTGTTTATGGGTGGGATGCAAAGTGGACGGGGTTTGGGTTGCCAGCCTGGACTTGGCCGACTTTTGTCGACGCCCGTGGACAATCGGGGTCCTGCGTGCATGGCGGGATGGAGCGGGGGGTTGTACGATATAATTCTACACATACTAGACGAGAGATACCCAATTGCCATCGATTGCACATCTTTACTGTGCGCCGTGAATATTCCAAGACAAGTGCGAATTGCATCCTTCCAATGATCTCGGGGTATATCATTTGAAAATAGGTGATACCAAGATCCTGATCACCAGTACATCATAACACAGTATACACTTCAACTCTACAGCTCATCCTTGTCAACGCCCTCGATACCAACGAGCTCAGTCTCGAAGATCAGAGTTGCGCCGCCGGGAATGGGACCAACGCCGCGGTCACCGTATCCGTACTCGGGGGGAATAGTGAGCGTGCGCTTCTCGCCAATGCACATGTCGAGGAGACCCTGGTCCCATCTACAGCGGAAAGAATGAAATAATTAGCCAATTGTCCACCACAGGCATAGACGGAAATAGAAACAAAGAGAAGGAAGGTAAATGAACACAATGCACCAGCGATACTTCGCGGCACTTGTACCCATTCTCATTGGTCATTCCCCCATTCTTATTCCAACAGTAGAAAAGTGTCCCAACTCACCCCTTAATAACCCGGCCAGTTCCCAGCTTAAAGTTCAGCGGGACATTGCGCTTGAAGCTAGAGTCGAACTCTTTGCCGTCGGATTGGAGAGTACCACGGTAGTGCATGGCGACATTATCGCCGTTCTGAGTCTTGCGCGTGCACTCGACCTTGTGGGTGGTTTCGATGCCCAGCTCGGCGGCGCAGGCGAGAGAGGCGAGGGAAAGGAAGATGGTGGTGAGACGCATTGTGGTGGTTGGATTTGTTTGCGTGGATAGAAAGAGGGGGGGAGAGAATACTTGGGTATGGAGTTAATTGAAGTGGAGGGGTTGAGGGTGATGAGGACAGGTCGAGCCTAAGGAATGGCAGGGGAGAAGAGGGCAACGTGGTGGAGTGGAGTGCGGAGGCGCTTTGGCTTTGCTCCGCTGGAGTGGGGCTTGCCTTGTACGTTGCTGTTTGAGACTACAGAACGATTGTGTACGGCGGACGATAGAAGCAAGTTGCTCAAAACCCATTTTATTAGGCAGAAAGACGGGCAGAATATTTAGCTAAGGCCAACTACTGCAGACCTGGTTTTTTCTATATGCCCGTCAAGCGTAGGCCTGGTAACGTGGACCGTCCAGAAGACCGTCCAGAAGACCGTCCAGAAGACCGTCCAGAAGACCGTCCAGAAGACCGTCCAGACCGCCAAGGAAACTATCTAGGAAACTGTCTAGGGACCCCTTAGGTCTCTTCGAGAAAGGCACAAATTGCCTAGACCGATTTCTCCTTAAGCGCTAGGGCTGTAGTCTCCTCCTTATGTGAATCGAGAGGGATTCGAGGTCTTATCTTATAGGGGCGAAGACCCTACGCCGGCAATAGGTGCAGGGATATCGCTAGGGGCGAGATCTATTGATCCATGCAGTCGTTTCGATTCTGCCTACATTGCCTGATTAGGATGGCTGTATAGGCCCTAGGACTAAGGCCTCAGGGCAAAGGCGGTTAACAAGGCGGTAGACAATTTTACTTGAAATAGGGTTTTGAGCAACTTGCTTCTATCGGCCGCCGTAGGTTGTGGTTGTGCAGTTGGAGGACTGGCTTCTATCTTGTTTGCAACGTGGCTTGTATTACTTGGTCCTTTTTGCTTGATCTCAAGCTAAGTTGCTATTGGGGAATTATTGATTAGCGATTATTGACTTTCAGTCAGTCAATGCAAGGTACCGAGGTCAAGTCTGCATCTTCAATCATCATCTTCACTGCCATCGCCGTCTCCAGACTCAAACTGCCTTCGCAGCGGTAGCCGTAATCATAGTATCCGTGGGAATTCCCTCGTCCGCATGGGCCTTGAGGTCATCCTCTCCCATAGCTCCATCCCATCCATGCGCCACAAGATAGGCTCGGAATTGCTCATCGCGTAGACGCAGATCCTCTCCAGAAAGATCCGGCACAAAGAACCAAGTCACCAGAACGCCGACCACCCCACAGATTGCAGCAATGATAAAAGTCCACTTCTTCCCAATATTGTTCGAAATTGGCTGAAATGCCTGGGTTCCGATTGCGGCCCCGGCTTTTCCAACCGCAGCCGAAAGACCGTAGCATGTTCCACGCACGCCGGTGGCATAGGACTCCGAGGACAGTAGACCGAGCATATTTCCCGGGCCAAAGTTGCCAGAGCTCTGCATGAGGCCGTAGAAGACGATGAAGAGCGGAATGATCTTGGTAATGCGGTCAAAGGCGCATCCGATGATGAGGCCGAAGATGAGGTATCCGCTGAAACCGATCATCATGATATTCTTACGACCGACGCGGTCGCAGAGAAACGCACCGAGGAAGACACCAGGAAGAGCAATAGCTCCGAGGAGGAGTTGCCATTCACCTGTCTGACGGATAGTGCCATTGTGGACTACATTCGAGATGATTGTGCCTGAGAAGACGCCGTTGGGGAACGTGACAAAGTCTATAGATCTCACATCAGTGATGAGCCGAATGCCAAAAGCAGCAGCCCATGTAGAGGCTTACCGTAGAGGAACCAAGCACCACATGTTCCAATCAGCGTCTTCCAGTAATACCGGATGACAAGCTTGTAAGGAACGCGTCGTTTGATCGCACCACGACGGTACAGAGTGGAATTGAGCATGCGGATTCGGAAGTAGAATACGGAGAGCGGCCAAATACATCCAATACCGAAGCACACTCGCCAAACAGTGCTGTAGTGCGACTGGTGACAGGCCGAAAGAACGATCAAAAATATGGACACCGCGAACGGTCCACCAAAGGACAAGGGGAAGTTGGTCACCATGATGAAAGCTGGACCTCGATGCTTAGGCGTCAAGTCGTTGGCGGACTCGGAAGCAGATGTCGACGAGGCAGGATATTCGCCGCCAGCGCCTGCGTATGAAGTCAATGTTTAGAACATTAGCAACAGCACGAAAAGCATAGCCTTACCGAATCCGACAACCCCACGAGCGACGGTCATCATCCAGAACATGCCGTCAATGGTGACACCGTGCGAGGCAGTGGCCAGGATGCCTCCAATGACAATCATGAGGGTGGTGAAAACAATGGCCATTTTTCGGCCAAGGTAGTCGCAGGTCAGACTAGATTTAAGCCATGAGCAATGAGCGACTGCTAGAGCTGCGGACGCGATCCAAAGCTTACCCAACAACAACCTGACCAATGACTTCGCCCACGAGCAACGCATTGGATACGCGCGTACTGACAGTCGTGGTGTACTCCTTGGGGTATTCCTTCTTGAGAAGGACGTTGGTCATAGTCCTAGAGTGACCAGCACATGAACAAGGCGTCTTAGAGAAAACGAGGGGGCCACACTGACATGAGGTTGTTTTGGTATCCATCACTGATAAGAGCGAAGCCACTGGCGAACTATACATGTCCTCGTCAGGCTCTAAATTAACGGAGGGGTTTTTCAAGGCTAGTCTTCGATAAAGTAACCAACGGTCACTCACGATCGTAAACAGATCCGACAGACTCTGCCGCTTCTTCGAGACCTCGCGTGAGGGGTTGTGATCGACGGTATCGTGAACCTCGGCCTTGGGGGCATCAGCTTCTTGGGGAATGGCTGGGGCGTTTTCGATGGCCATGTCGAACCCGGCAGTGTGCGCTTTAGTGGAATCCTCGCTTGGGAGGAAACAAAGAGAGAGTTAGGAGCAAGCGGCGCAAAAAAACAACCCCTCGTGCTCGTACAGAGGAGGGAAGCATACAGAGGAGGGAAGCACACGTGCGCACAGGGACTCTGCCAGGATCAGCCCTACAGTCGGAATTTGGGTTAAGCGCCGCCATGGCGTTCGCCCCAAACTTAGCTTTCCCATTATTCCCCTGAAACAAATTCAGTCACCCAATTTTGGCTTCGCATTCCGGTGTCAGCCACATGGCCCGTAACATGGTTGAGAGAGGAATGTGTTGGATGATAAGGATCTACCGAGGAGTCCAGGCCAGGCAGCTGCTAGGTTTTTGTGGAAATGATGACTACTCAAGCACGATTCGGTCTTTCCAGGATGTTGTTCGATTTGATTGGAAGCTAATTACATCGATCTGGGACATGAAGCTCGGGGGTTGACCCCAACGATAAAAGCAGAAGACATATAACACCAATAACTCCTCCCAGAACCAAAACTAACGCCGAGGATGTGTGCGCCTGCGCTGGAAGCAAGATTTGGCCCGTTGGGTATCAAATGCATGTACAATTGACCAGGGATCACTTCAGACGGTAGAAGTAAGAATTCCCGCACTTTTGGAGTTGTAAAAAATGGAGACAGCGAAATGAAGAAGAGATAATCGGAAATCAACCGACGTCGTAACAAGATATTTAAGGAGGTTGTCGTAAAGCTAGGCCCATTTACCCAGCAGAGCCATCAAGGCAGCACCCATACACAGCAGGGCGAAAGCAGCCAGCACCTGGCGGATGGGAGCTTTGCGCATGGAGCTGCTGAACATGAACTCGTGAGCCATTAGCTCAACTAGTGCGGTGTAGATGAGAATGCCGGCGGAGATGGAGTCGAACACGCCGTTGACAATGAGCGTGGTCCGTCCCGTCGGCGGGTAGCTGTTGCGGACACCCAGACCGATAGCGATAGCAATTGGGGTCGAGATACCAAAGGCCAGTCCCAAGAAGTATGGTGTGAGCCGCTTGGATTTGGGCCAGGGAATGAGAGCCAACCGGGAGCCTAGACCCAGGCCCTCGAAGGTCTGATGGAAGACCAGGACGATGTAGAGGGTAGTAAACTCGGCACCGGACACGGCCAGAGTGAGGCCGATGAAGACGGAATGAAAGATAATGCCAAACTCCAGGATGAAGATGGAGGTTAGCTGGGCGGCGTAGTCTTCGCTCATGACAGAATCTTTCTCCGAGTCATCGGAATCATGGTGCTCACGGGAGTGGCCCAGATGGTCTTCACCGGGCATATGGTGACTCTTGCTAGGATGCAGTTCCTCGACCACGGGCTCGGCCGTGCCAATGTGAGAGTGGGCCTGTCCTTCCTCATCATGGGAGTGGCCGTGACCAGAGCCAAAATGGGAGAATCGCATGACCATCAGCTCAACAAAGAAGAGGATGATGATGGTCATCAGGATGATACCCTCAACCCAGCTGTATTCAGTGATGGGGCCCGTCAAGCAAGAATTGGTGAGGGCCTCTTCTGCGGGAGCAAGAAGGTGAATGAAAGCGGTTGCGATGATGACACCTGATCCAAAGTACTTTGCGATGAAAAACGCCCATCCAGGCACCCCACCCTTCCCACCAAACTGCCGAGCAAAGACGGGGAAAATAGCACCGAACATGGATCCGACCATAATGACGAAAATGGAGGAAATGCGGAGGCCGATGCGGCCATCAAACTCATTACCAGAATCACAGGGGTCAGCGGCGCGCTTTAGGAGCGCATTCACTGGATCCATCTCCATGGTGAATATGAGTACCGGGCTCTCTGCGTATCGAAGAATCAAAGAGGCGAAATGGCTTTTGCGATGGATAGACCGATCTGAGTATCACGGCAACCGCACTTTCGAATGCCGGGCGGCAAATGATCAAATTAGGATGAGGGCGTTGTAAACACCTGTGGTGTACAGGAGAGACGAGAAAAGGGTTTGGCAGATGGACTGTGGAGGGGGGTTTCTAAGGTAGGCTGCCAATCTTTTGTGGGTGCTTCGCAGCGATGGCCGACAACCCCCAAGGTCCTCGATGTTGGCGCAACGGCCCAATGGCTAGCGGCGAGACAACCAGGTTGGCCTGTCAAGATCAAACCCTAACGCAGCACTACTGCTCTACCGCCCCGTTAAGTAGGCGCGATATGCACGGAATAATGCGATTGAGGTCTCTTGGCGGTGCACACCGTACGGCTCAGCATGAACCAATGTAGCAGAGACTTGTCCGTTATCTGTGTCGGAGAGGCGGATGGAGAATAGGCTGGGTCCCCGAAAGCGTCTAGTACCAGATTTGCGGTAGTACCAGGGAAAGAACGTATGAATTACCAATCCGCCGCCCTTTAGAAAGACAAGAAAGAGCTATACTGATCTCGAGTCTCGCAATTGACAGGAGGAAGGTTTGAAATCAGTATTGACTCCCCCCATCAAACTCTGCGGAAATCGTAGCCGGACTGCTCAGCGGCGGGGGGATCCATGGGGACCTTGTTGGCCCCGAAGACGTCAAAAGATGGAACTTTGCGCAAGGTACCCGGTACTTCTGATCACATAGTAGTCGCCGCGATACTAGATGTATCGGGTACTTCCGGTGTGTTCCAGCCTTCTGGACCGGACTACGAGTGAGGACCTTGGGGACGGTCAGTCTTTTCCGGTCGCGGTGGTTGGGCCCCGGTCACGTGGAATACAATTGAGCACTTACCAGAAAGATAATGCCATGACGGAATGACTAGAGGTTCACCTGGATGGGCATTAAATGGTCCTTGACGATGAACGTCGATATCGACAAGAAAGAAGGTCGTTCCAGCAGAATTTTTTGACTACAGGATGGTGATGACAGAGGCGTGACCTTTCGCCAATCACAGGATCTGCCGGGCGGGGAGCTCCCAGGCATCCAGGCACTGACTTGATGAGCTCACAGCTTGCTACCGATCTCTTGGAGTGCGTCCGACACCTACATTTTAACACACACAGCATGGCCCCCATTCGTCGCTACTTACGCATAAGCAAATACTCAGTGCTGGAATGCCGCATCTATCTGGACAATCCATCGGACTCGCGATGGCTTTTGAATCCGCGCGATCCGGTGCTCCCACGCGTCTTCGCTGCGATTCGACCTTTAGTCCTGCCCAAGTTGCGGGAGGAGAATGAACGGCTATGGTCGCGCAAGAAGGGCAAACCCGTAAAGGATGTTATTGCTGAGGGTAAGGAACCTGCCGTTAGTGGGGTTTAGAAGCTGCGACTAACGTCATATTACGCCCGCAGATGAATTCGAAGTTGCCATCTTCCTCCGCGAGTCGCGAACCCGTCATGCCTTGTTGACCCGCAACAAGACTTTCCACGATCCGGATAGCAAGAAGAACAAGAAACTGAAAGCCGAACCTGGAGAGGATTTGACGGGAGCCTCAGCTGGCTCGGCCCAGTCTGTCAGGGCAGAGGTCATTCTCGACAGTGATGATAGTGAGGCTGAGGTCGATTTGCGCGAAATCCCCGAAGCAGGCGGAGAAGACAATGGTCCAGAAACTGTCACAATATCAGACATTGCAATGGAAGCCCAGCCCGGAGAGGAGGCTGCGGGTGATGAGAAGAAGCTGCGCTTTAGCACCCATTACGAAAGCTTCAACATTACAGGATGGGTACTCTGCTTGCTCGTCACTCGTAAAGGGGACCGAAGCCAGGGTTGTACGGCTACATCGGATCCGAAACAGCCTCTTATGGAGGAATGGATCTCCACACAGGCTCAGACAGGTCTGGGCGAGGACTGACGGGTAGAGTAATTGGCCTGCCCGCCTTGTCTTGTTTGACAACAGACGTGAAACACTCATCCTACAGTACAACCTGCCACTGCCCCTCTCGTGTGGCTGAAGATAAGCTGCAAGGCTCAAGCCTCGTCTCCGCCTTGGAAGGCGGGTAGCCGTAGTGGCGTGACCTGTCGCAGGGTGTTCCTCTGTGATACATAGCTAAATTGCAGAGTTGCAGAACTCCAGCCATGCCGGGCTTCCTGGATATGACAGGTACTCGTACAGAGACAATTGTCCGTGGCTGCCTTCGTTCCTGTACACATGTCACGCGGATTTCTTTGCCCTGCATGCAACCTAGTGGCCATGTTGCCTATTCCCGAATCGGCTACTAGTGCAGTGTCCTTTGAAGATATGTCCATCTACTGAGACGGACGGATGACCACGGATGCAATGATCAGGATCCCAGGGATTCGTTACGCTGGTGGCGGTCACCCTAGTTGGAATCTGGCCTGATCTAGTACCGCCAGCGCCCTGGAACCGTCGAGAAGAGAATTTTGGCAGGGATGAGCGCGGTATTTGAGTTTCTTATACCGTGCCGTGGCTGATCTTAAAGTCCATAGCCATCAGGAGATACCATGTCCGAATTGAGCCTGATCGTTCCATGTCTTGGTTGAGTTCATGATAATCATGGAGACCATGATTATTACCCTTCCTTACAAATTGGAAGAAAATGGAGATCAGATAGCTCCCTTCGGCTCGTTGACCATCGCAGTCCTACGCAGCCTCAACTCTTCAGCGTACATCAGGACCCCGGCCAAACTTCATGTGGCTTTGCTCTGGCGGAGCCTCGGCTCGCCGTTTGTTTCCAGAAAACCACGTCGAACGCGGATTTCCAAGGGTGGACCTTACGCTGTGAAACAGCCCGTCTCATCCACCACCTCCCGTGACCTTCCCCATAATTCCCCATTGGCGGTCAACACCTTCCCGAATCCCGTGCAAGATTGAAAATTTTTTGTCCGGTTGATCTAGGGTTAAATAGCTGCTCATTTAGGGAATTGATCAGGGTGTTCTTCAGATTAGCTTTCTTATTGGCTTGATTTTCTCCGTACTCCCGTCTCCGTCCTCCCGTCTCCGTGCTTGCCGACCCAATCTGTTGGGGAAAAAAAAGGAAAGCACCCTAGCTAGTCGGATAGAGATTAAGATGGTAACGCGAGCTAGCGAATAGACTATCATTGAGATTGCGTGCTCAGGCTTGAATACTCAATACAGTCGGGGCAGGAGTCGTGTACGTAGAGTCTTTGTCTGAAATATACTGTGCTATACCGCACTTACTCCATATACTATTCATCAATACCCATCTACCTGAATCACCAATTCAACCGTCGAACGGATATCAAACCGCATTTACGAGGTCCTCTACGGAGGACTTATCCTAGAGAGTAACCATGAACCTTGGAACCAGCTCAAGGAACCTCCGAATCTAGCAAAGGTCCACCCCTTTTGCCACGTGCTGGCGGGGCCGGACCTAAAGAGGCAACTCGACGTTGATCCTCGTTCCTGAAACCCTAATCCTCTGGGATTGATGGATTACGCTCACCAGAGTAAATGTGAACCTGTAATTACTTTATGATACTCAGCAGTACATACTCCCTACAGTAGTGGCGAATTAGATCCATAATACCGAGAAGACCAATCACAATTTCTCGTGGAAAATTCTTTGAGCTTCCGTAATCTCACACACTCTCCTTTTTCCCGAGGCCTCCACTCCCATTTCCAACGGCGCGGAACGGCGGTCGATGCACCCCCCATTATTTTTTAGTGGAGTCTTGCACTGCCCTAATCCCCATCGGTCTCTCGTTTATTGAAGTTTCCAGCCTCTTAGCGTAGCAGGAATCCCACTGACCTTCCATTCGAATTTCGAGGAGGAAAACCCGATTATTTGTTCATTTGTTTCTCTTTTTCCCCTTTTGCATCTATCCGTCCCACCATTAATGGAGTCCATTCGCCACTAGTCTCTTCCAGGACCTCTCTGGACTCCACAACGCCTCGCTCCAGTGAGTCTAGTCCAGTAGCAGTACACTAAACCCAGCAGTTTTTGAAATGTGGGAACCGCTAGAGCAGCGAACTGTATCCGGCTGCCAGGTACAGCACCACGAGGAACAGGAACAGGAACAGGAATAGGCACAGACGTATGTACTCTATGGAGAATATGGAGAAACTCCGGAGTACTTGGCATCCTCTGACGAATCCTACCACTCTGATCTGCTCTTTTTGATTTTCTCAAATCCCGGTCGCACGGACAAGGCCGATGCTCATTTGCCCATCATCTTACCGTATAGGGCTGTGGTCATGCGCACACCTCCTCCGGTTTGGTCCCGTCAACCACTGACCCGGGTTGTTTTGCCTTTTTGCCTTGCTTTTGTTTCTAAGGATTACGTGGTGTTGTGTAGGCAGAAGAGCTGTTTCAGGGTTGACGTACATAAAACCTGGAGAAGATGTCTAAGGAAGGAGCACACTAAGTAACTTGGTCCGCAAAACAGGGCAAGACGTTAGTTACTACGTATGCTTAATCTCGGAGTTGCGGAGGTCTAACTTCCGGGACAGGCCGGAAAATTGATCGTTCTACTCCGTAACTCTCTACACACTACTGTAAGTTAGACATATGGACTCTCCAATTTGGAGATTGCTGCAGTAGTGTCTGCTACTATGGACTTTATACCTCGACTACAGGATAGAGTACGGTTTCCACTTAGCAAGAATGTAATCGCAACATCTCCGTTTGTATGCGATGCAACTGTAGATAGTACTACGGAGTCGATATATATGACTTCAATCGCTTCAATCAGCCATCGGATGCCGAGCACGCAATCGTCGCCACACGGACAGCGCAGCGTCGCCTCGGGAGAGTAGATCTTCTCTTTGAAACAACCCCTGGTCCAGTGATGTGCGGGATGAACCCTGGGGAGCAGGGGGGGTTTCGGCTGGCGATGAACGAGTGACATTGCATATCTGTACACCTGCATGATGCATGCTGCATGTCCATTTGATGAAGAAGAGGGGCAAGGGCAACCCATGCACCATGCACGCTTGGCCTGTCCTACCCGCCGTATCTTAAATTGAGGATGTGCAATGGACGGAGCATTTTATCCGTCCTTGCGCTTCATCTCTTCTAGGTACATCAGCGAGGGATGTCTAAGAAAAGGACACGATATAACATAAACCGGAGTAATCCATGCAATCTACCGGGCTGATGGGATGTCTATCATTAGTATCATGTTGGAAAAACTGCAGGTATCGAATGACTGTCAGCTTAGAAACCATGGCATCATTAGCGACCGCCTCGGAGAGGGAACAAGTTCGGACGGAGGTGACTCGGCTGTGTTCTCCGTTAGCGGGGCGACGACTTAAAATCGGGCTTCGTACTAATCCTGCACGATGAACGCACTAAAGCACTACAAACCAACATGTAATCATTATGATTACTATTCATATATTCTAATTCCCTTACTGTGCTAGAAATAATCCCTCTTTTCTATTCGTAACCTACCGATAAGCATTGCGAAATTCCCCGGGAGACACGGGGCGGACACCCTTCGCTTCGACCGGATTCAAGAATAGCATCACCGCTAGATCTTGGCCGTTCTTTGACTAGATAATCGTCCGCATTCTATTTGCTGGTTTGTCTTAAAGTACACTACGGGTATCAACCACGGTCGGTGATGGGTCGGTGTTGAAGGTGAGACGGTCAACCCTGGCCTTGTTTAGATTTTTTTTTAATTAAGCATCTTTCATTGGAGTGGTGTTTCCTTTGAAGTTGTATGGATAACAAGAAAATTCGCCTCCCCCTGAGACAAGATTCCGCCGTAAACCTGTAATCCCCTTCCCCACCCACCCCCAGACGCAGACCGTTATCTGAGCCACGAAGACTAAGGATACCATAAAAACGAAAAGAGACACGATTTGCAAATCAGCGTTGTTGACGTGTCAGATAAGGAAGGATAATCATGACGATTTTCCTTTTTCCTACTTGTCCCCCTTGGCTCACCCATCGGTCCGAGAGTCAGCTGGGGTTTACCGGCGAATCAACGTTGTCAGCCGAATCCCTGCGCCACAGAGAGCTTTATGCTGATCCCCATCGTGATGGATGCCTGAACCTTGGCGTGAGAGGAAATCTGGTAGCAGGCATTACGAATCGGTTAAAACCCCGAGTCTAACTCGACTTTTAGGACATTTCCAAGAACAGGAACAGTAACTGATAATTTTCATCGATTCTCCGGTGCTTTGATCATTTTTTCTTTTGCTTCTTAGTCCTTAGCGATCGACACGCTAGCACGTGTCGCTTATCCTGACTGGCTGGACCCTATCTTTTTTTATTTTTTGCCCTTTCGGCTCCCCGTAGCTCGGTGTTCGTTTGACTCATGGACTTTTATTGGGGATAAGGGAAGTCTATGTACTCCGTACAAGGTACTTGCTTCGTATGCTTTATGGATATAGCGCTTAGACCTGTGCTTAGACTCTCTCCTACGCACCACGGATGTATTTACAATATCTCTCTGACCAGGGTGTGCATGGCTCAGCTTGACAGGCTAAGAAGAAAAAAACAATGAAGAAAAGAAAAAATCAGACTTAGTCCCTCTGCTCGTCGCATCGAGGAACCGTCCTGATGGAGACTCGGTGGGGCCACGGGAGATTGCCCATTCCCAGTTGTCACCTCGCGTGGTTTCATGATAATTTGGCTGGTGAACACCGTCGTGTGACTGTAAAGAAGAATCATTGGGCAAACGGAGATTGATAGATGGTGTAAGGTGTACAGGATGTAGTATTTAGGTAGCCGTAGAGAGATCATGGGAAGATTACGTGCCTTTCGAGGGGTGTCTCAGGCCAAGTCAATTCTTGGATTATTTTAGGGATTAAGGCACATTCTAATTAAGTATCAATCGACAAATTATGACCCAGTAAGGATCCAATATACCGACGTATATATGATACATAGTTAATATGATTTCTTTTTTGCACACACCCAC